GGAGGGAAAGAAGATGAAACTGGATGGTAGAAAAGGGGGAAAATCTGGGAGGAGTTAACAGAGGGGAGAGAATATGGTGAAAATATATTGGATGAAATTTTTAAATAAAAAAGTGAAAAAGCTTATCAACAGCAATACAATTAACTGAGTAAAAAAAAAAAAAGATAGACTACAGAATGAGATAAAATCTCTGCCAGCTATACATCTGGCAACAGTTTAGTATACAGAATATACAAAGAACTCAACTCGGAACACAAAATAGCAAAAGAAGAAATAAACTAACCAGTAAGTAGGCAAGTGAGTTGAACTGACAGTTCTCACCAGAAATACAAAAGAACAATAAATACATGGGGAAATATGTTCAACATCTTTGACAATGAAAACAGAAATCAGGATTAAACTGAGATTCCATTATCACTCCAGTGAAAATGCCTATCAACAAGACAAATGTTACATACTGAAAAGAGTGAGGGGGAGTGAAAGGAATAAGCTACTTATTTTTGTTTGTTTGTTTTTTGTTTTGTTTTTTGTTTTTTTGCAGATTTTTTATTTTAATTAAAAACAAGATTGTTTTACATGACAATCCCAGTTCCCTCTCCCTCCCCTCCTCCCTAACCACCCCTCCAACTAAAACCCTACCTATCACATATCCTTTCTAGGAATGCGCTACTTATATTGCTGGTAGGAATGTAAGTTAGTCCAAGCACTATGGAGATGTGCTATATCAATATAATGGAACAATATTCTCCCACAAAAAGAAACAAACCATTAATGGCTGAACCATGCCCCAAATGGCTGAAATTTGAACAAATTATGTTAAATGAAAAAATCCAGACAATGAAGGCCAAATATTGTATGGTTGTATTTATTTCAACTATCCAGAATAGAAAAATCCAAAGAGGTAGAAAATAAACAAATGTTTATTGGAAGTAGATGAAGGATTTGCAAGAAATAATTGCTTAGTAAACATAGCATTTAATTCATGGTGATTTAACTGTTATATGATTAGCTAATATGGGCATTGTACAATAGTGTGAATGTAATTAAATTACCAGACTGTGCATTGTAAGAGTTATGTGTTATGATGATTTGTGTGTGTGTGTGTGTGTGTGTGTGTGTGTGTGTGTGTGTGTTAGATTCCATAAAGCTGAAGTTATGGGTGGTTGTGAGCTGCCTGATGTGATCACTAAGACCCAAACACAGGTCCTCTCTGCAAGAGCAGCAAGGGATCTTAAACTCTAAACCCATCTCTCTAGCACCTGAACACTGTGCATTTTAAATAGTTAAAATTATTAACTTTTTGCAGAAGAAAAGCTCAATAGATATAGATTTTCCAAAATATAAAGCCAGCTAGGAATTCAACTCAATAGAGAAATAAATGTATCTTAAAATGTACATCCTGAAACACTGTAATGACTCCTTGTTTTTCTTTTTCTTAACCCCTAAACCTGAAATTGATCCCCTAAGAATATCAATAGAATATTAACTTCTGACCTCCATCATAAACTCACATCACCAGACATAGGAACACATGCCTATAATCTCAGCAACTGGGAGATTGAGGCAGGAGAACACTGAACTTGAGTCCAACCTGTACTACAAAGGAAGACCCTATTTTAAAAGAAGCTCAATAAATACATGGTTTTTAATTTTATCATTTTAATTATATGCTTGCATGTGGCTTTGTGCACATGAGTGTCCATGCCTTCAAGGTCCAGAAGTATCAGAATCCCCTAGAGCTGTAGGTACAGGCAGTAACAAACCATCTGACGTGGGTGCTGGAAATCAAACTCAGGTCTTCTGAAAGAGCTTTTGCTAACTGCTGAGCCATCTCTCCAACCTAACAAATACATGTTTTTAAATAACCAAAATTATTCTTTGGAAAAAAATAGTTATCCCTGGCATAAGTCTGGCTCTAAGATGAGACATTGGCCTACTCAAGACATAAAAATACAAGGATGACAATTCCCCATCACAGAGTGATGAAGTGTTTATATATAACTTAAATTACCTTCCCATTTTTTGTATTATTTCTGTTGTTGCTGCTAGGTACTGAACTCAAGCTTCATGCATGCTAATTGCACAGTCTACCAAAGAGTCTACCTGCCATATGTTTTAATCCTCTCTAGGGTATATATACCTAAAATAAAATGAACATGCTATAGAAATTGCACTATAGTGTATCTGTACTGTTTGAGAACAACAGCAAAAGTCTCCACATGTTTAGCACAGATGTAATTCTTTTCCAAGATCTATGAAGGAGTAGCTAGGGAACTAGTACTGTTAGTAAAGTGTTTGCTATACAAGCACAGCACAATGAGTCCAGATCGCCACACCTACACGGAAAGCTAAGGTCAGTGGTACACACATAAAAATAACAAGGGGGATTACAGATCAGCCAGATCCCTGGTGTAGACAGCCCGGTCCCAGTACCCTTCAGTCCCAAATAAACACACAGAGACTTATATGAATTATAAACTGTTTGGCCATTCGCTCAGGGTTGGCTAGCTCTCTCTTAATTATTAACCTATTTCTATTAAACTATGTAATGCCACGAAGCTGTGGGTTACCCATAATGTCCCAGCATGTTACTCCTTCAGCACCTACATGGCTTGTCCCCAGAAACTATCTATATTTCTCTTCCAATCATTCTCCTAGTCTGGTAGCCCTGCCTATACTTCCTGCTTGGCTACATCCTGTCTGTCCATTGGCAGAAACAGCTTTATTCATCAACCAATAAAAGAAATATATATTCACAGCCTATAGAAGGACCTCTCCAATCACCCTGACATTCACTGGCCAGCCAGGCTACCTGAATCAGTGAGTTCCAGACTGGGTGAGAGACCCTGTTCCAAAGAATAAGGAGGACAGAGACTGAGTAAAATACCCAATAGCAACCTCTGGCCTCCATATACATGCACATACACACACACAGAGAGAGAGAGAGAGAGAGAGAGAGAGAATCTAGAGAGAGAATCTGTGCTTAGTTAAAACTACAGGTGCAAAACTGTTGAGTATCAAGAACCAACTGTGTATATGCTTCTCCCTCTTTTCTTTTAAATTAAAAACTGTGTTATTAGTGTACCTGTAAATATACATACGTATATATGTGTATGTTTTCATGGTAAGGGCAGTAGTGATGGTGGTGGTCAGAGGACAACTTCTGGGTCTCAGTTCCTTCCACCCAGGTTTTGGAGATAAGCCCAGGTTATCAGACTTGAGCAGCAGGTGAGTCTACCCTCTCAGCCAACTAGCTGGCCCCACATGTGCTTTTAAATAAAAGTGATTAATTTTTCTTATTAAATTCCAGCATCAGTTCCAAGTGGGATTAAAAATATTAGCTAGACAATTGCTTTATATAATATAAGTTTTAGATTCTGAAAAGTTTGGAGTGTGTCAAGCTTAGGAATTAGCAAATATCACTAAAGTATTTTAAAATGCAGAAATATGTACATGAAACAAAAAAATCTTTACTAGAAGTACTATTTAAATTCATTTCATCAATTTACAGTTAGTTTTATTCTATAATAACTAATATTGTTAAGCCATGTGTTAAAAGCAGTAAATATAGCTATACCACACAGTCTCCAAAAGCAGCAGAAAAATACCCACATAGCATGCTTTGGGCTAAGGACAGGTAAGGCTACCTCCCTGAGAGCTTCAAGACCCTCTTATCCCCCAATCATTTTCATCCAGATTTCACAAAAAAAAAAAAGATAACTATCCCTAATTACCAATAGCCTTTCCTAAATTTTTTCTTCAAGCTTGAAAAGTAACTGATAAGTTATAGGCCACCACATTCATTGCCAAAGCCATAAATGAAAATAGTTATCCACTACATCTGAAATAGGAGGAGGCAGACCAGTGCTCCAGGCATCTTCCTTTTGTATGACAAAAAAATAAAAAATAAAACCTGAAGAACTGTGTGACTATAGTTGTTCTGTTACCTTTAGTCTTGTTATATTCAAATAGATAATTGCCATTTTCATAAGGACAGAGCCTAATATTTGCACTTCACATTGACAATGGCTTTTCCCTGACATCCACATTGGACAAGCTAGCCTCTACCTAACATTTCTCTTCCACCTGGAGAGCTGAACAATTAGATTTCAAAGTCAATGTTAACTATATAAAGGGTATGCTATATACATGAATTTTTCATCCTAAGACACAGCAGATACAAGTAATGTTGAAGACACACATTGCTGAAAATCTAAATTTCATATCTGAAGCACATACACACTTGGTTTGAGTTTTAAACTATACTACAGGCTAAACTTTCTGGAGAAGGAAAGAGTTTAAGGAATCCTAAATGAAAATAGAACTCAGAGTACTAGACTTTTCCAGAAGGTTTTTAGTGACTTAAAAATGCCATTTTCAGCCAGGCGTTGGTGGTGTACGCCCTTAATCCCAGCACTCAGGAGGCAGAGGCAGGCGGATCTCTGTGAGTTCGAGGCCAGCCTGGTCTACAAGAGCTAGTTCCAGGACAGGTTCCAAAGCTACAGAGAAACCCTATCTCAAAAACTAAAAAACAACAACAACAAAAAGTAATCAGTTTTGAAAATAAGATGTTAAATAGATTTGTCATTTTATATGTTTATATAAGTAAGAAATTTCCATTTGAATAACTTTATTAGCTAGCTAAGGTACAGAAGTATTGCCAAAATATATCCTCTCTCCACACAACATATATGGTTGTTTGATAGCAGTCCAATATTTTGTCAGGTGAGAATTGTGGTAACACATGGACCACTCAGTAAATACCAAAATTTAGACCAGTTTGGAGAAACAGTAATTTTCACAGTTTTACCAAGTACCTAAAATGAATTCTAGAAAACAAAAGACAATATAGTTCCATAAGCATTTCCAAATTGTGTTTTCGATAATTTATTTTGAAAGATGGTCAAAAATAATTAAACTACTTTACAGTTAATAAAAATAATGACCAGAATAATCATAGCACAAATTGAATAGCACAAATTTTTTTTAAATTGTAATACCTTATGAAGCATGTTTTCTACTGTTCTCATGTGATTAGCAACACATTCTTTGTCTCTAGAAAAAAGAAAGAAAAGATTAAATGTGAGTATAACCCAATTCTTCTTATATTTGTTTACATTTTAGTCACTATTACTAGCTGTCTTTGATCTCCCTTTAAAAGCATAAAATTTGATACTGGGGCTGTGGCCTGGTGAGGAAAGTGGGAAATGTGACAGGAGCCAGATCCCCGGCACACAATGGGAAGCCATGAGAGCCAGCCTATGTATGATCCCAGTCCTCACAAGGTACATGGATTGCCAGGGCAAGGTGGCCAGCATGGTTAGAGGACACTGGTGAGCTCCAGGCTCAGTGAGAGACCTTGTTTCAACAAATAGAGTGGAGAGTAATCACAAAAGAAACTCAGTGTTAACCTATGGCTGTCATATGCACAGCACACACACACACACACACACACACACACACACACACACACACACACACACCCAACACATAAAAAAAGTATAAAATGTAACCAAAGCCACTGATATATTTACACTTAACGCTTATGATCCCTTAGACTACTTGTCCTAAACTGGAGGAAAGAGACCATAAGAGAATGGAAAAAATAAGGAAACCACAATTATATTATTCATTATTCACAATTTAAAATTTTCTGAAAGAATAAGGCATTCTTTAAATCATATTGGTAGCAAAATACTGTAAGTGGTGATGCTGTGTAAAAAACTACTGCATATCTTCATAGTTCTTTCATGGCACCATAATTAAATTAAACCCTCTTTGGCACAGTAACACTTGTGCAGTTAGAAGTTCATTTCTTTTTTTTTTTTTTTTTTTTTTTTGGTTTTTCAAGACAGGGTTTCTCTATCTAACTTTGGAGCCTATCCTGGCACTTACTCTGGAGACAGGGCTGGCCTGGAACTCACAGAGATCTGCCTGCCTCTGCCTCCTGAGTGCTGGGATTAAAGGAGTGCACCACCAACGCCCGGCAGAAGTTCGTTTCTTAGCCTGTGTATTTAATTTAGCTTTCATAATGAAATAAAAACTCTGATTGAAAATGCTAAAGACTAGATTTTAATAGTAACATATGAATGGAATTGTAAATAATATGGTGACACCCCATTTTTTTTAACTAGTCTCCTCTAGTTGTACAAGATCCCAGTCCCATAGAAACCAGCCATAAACACCTGAGTCCTGAGTTAAGTGCAGCACTGTAAAAACACAACAGAAATGCGGAGGTTCTACAACCCTGTTTTCAGGCATCTAAGAACCTCAGATAAAGAAAATGGCAACAAGTCTGAGTTAGTCAAACATATTTTTAGAAATAAATTATATACTTTTAATACGGAGATGAATGTTATATAGCTGTACAATTTAAAAAATAACTATTGGTGGTTATTCAATCGAGCTAGTATTTATACTTTGGAATTCATGACTTAGTTAAGTGATGTCATCGACCCAGAAGCAATAGTTACTGCTGCTCTAGGTCCACAGATACCTACTCCATGATTTACAGGCTCTACCCTGCAATTTATAGAGTATATTTACAATTCACAGTTTCTATCTAGCAGGAGTCTGTCTCAAAAACTTTCATGCGCTTTCATGAATTAAAAATTCCAAACACAGCGAATCACTTGTTTCTTTAATTCTTTTCATTATGCTGTTGAACAATAGCCTGGCTTAAGGTAGTCCATAAACCTTGTTATAGGGAACAAATTAAAAGCTCAAGAAAACTGTTGAACTTCAAAATGGATGTATGACCATTTGTTACATGGTAAAAGGAAAAACATTCTCTACATTCACATTGAGATGGTACTTTCTATTAAATATACTATAGCATATATATAAGTGTAAATGGATTCCCATGATCAACCTATTTTCACTGTATTTTGAGACTATGATACATGTGTTGGTTGTTCAGCAACGTCTCCTTATGGAAATATTACTTGTAATATTAACAGACACTACAAAGCAAAATCAGGGGTACAGCCAGTGGAACAGAAGGTGATAGGTGATAAGGAATACATAATATAAAAATATAAACAAATAACATAACTATGTGAAACTTTAATACACAATTTATATTCTGCATTAATGGAAACTGATTTCAAATATGTGATGCCAACACCGAGCACCAGCCCTGCATAATTTGAGGCTATGTAGAAGCTTATGCTTTCTGAGGCTTCTCTATAAAATATACACTTAGTGTGTTAAGAGTTTTCTTTTGGAGGGTATATCAGAGAATTTCAAAGACAGACAGCTGCACTTTTGTTTTCTAGCACTGTATTATCCAGGGCTAAAACCCAGAGCATGAAAGTAAGAATTGATCTTTTGTCTGTTTTAAGTGATCTCCCCACGGTCCTGATGCTCACTTGGCTGCCATGCGGAGGGCACTCTCGGCATCGTGGATGTTCTCCTCCAGTCGACGCTTGTCCTGCTCCAGCTGGGTAAGATGTCTATTGAGCTGACGAAGAGATTGATCTTTCCTTCTCAGCTCCATCTTTGCCTCGGAGAGACTCTGCGAGCAGACAGAAAACAGAGTTACTTGTCAGTCCTGATAATTAACTTCAATTTATGCCATCGGCTATTAGACAGAGAAGAACACAGCCTGACTGAGAAGGAGAGCTGGGTCATCACACATCAAGGTTTAACAAATTTTCTGCAAAATTTTTACATACGTGTTAATTAGAAATAAGAACTATACCAGTTTGAGAAATATTTGGCTACAAAACGCAACTCTTCTTATATTATGCAAAGTAAAACAAACTGTATTATTACTAAAAATTTCTTATTGCAGAAATCTCAAGCCATATGTGCTTGCTTTTAATGATGAAAAATAAAGGATTTATGGGACAAAGGGCAAGAAGGTTAGGTTCTATTTAATTCTAGACATAACTAAGAGCTATCAGATGCCCCCAAGATTGCGTGGTTGAAGGAAAGGAACCAGAACGCCAGAGGAAACAGTGGGCTCATTTGTTCATAAACGGTGGGCTCACGTTTTTATAACTCTGTCTCTGACAGATTGTTCTACACATTTCAGTAGACAAATGGGACTTGGAAATAATTTTTACCTGCTTCCTAACAAATAACTTCCACATCAAGGATAACTACATAAGTATGATCAGCATGTTTTAACTAATGAGACACTTAATACTGGCGTTCATAGTGATTTAGGATTTATAAATGTCTCCTAATCACAGAAATGCAAACTGTAGATTCACAGTCCTCTAAATACAAACTTAGCACAGGAATTCCAGCATGCAAATTACACAGGTTTTTTGAAAGGTTAGGGGAGAAAGTATTAGAATCAGAAACCATTTTAAGGAGTATTTTCTAGACCATGTTTAAAATTCTAGGTTGCAAAATAGTATAAGAATCAAATGATCCCCTGAACACCAAAACAATGCTCATCTCTTACCTTCTAAAATTTCTAAAATAAGCCTGTTGAACAGTTTTTACAATTAAATTTGTTGAACAGTCAGCCAAACAACTGAATGCACACACTTCTGCTTTATTCCTTTGGCTAGTTCAGCCACAAATGAATATCCACAGCTCTGTTTCACACCCCCACAAAAAAAGCAATACATGCAATATCATGTTTGAAACTCCCTTCTTGATGTAGTCACAATGATAGTATAAACATAAGGCACTGATGTGAGCTAAAGCACTTCATTCCAAATGATAGGGAATTTAAAGCAATCCACTCAAATCAGGTGTTTAAAAATGCTGCAAGCTTTTAAATTCAGTAATCCACTTCCAGTCAAGTACCTACTACTCATGTATACAAGCAGTGAAATATAAGTAGTAAGACAGCAACGGTGACTCATTAGCTACTTAAATTGATTTTCCAACTATAATAATAATAATACACATTTAAGAACACTCCAAAGATGATCAATGGATCCTGCATGACAATGAAGTGGAAAGAGTTCCAGCGGGTTATGGTGCAGTAAGGTGATCATAAGTAACAGCAATAAAGCGCATTTTTTAAAAGCTAAAAATAAGTGGAATATTTTCCCTACAAAGAAATGATAAGTACTTAGAAGACAATTGTGTTTGATCTGATTTAAGCATTATATAATGTATACATGTATTGAAACATCAGATGTTACTATAGAAGCTGTGCCTTTATCTTTAATTTATCTTAAATATTTGAGAAAAGAATACTTCACCAAGAAAATACTTTAAACAATGTTTAAAGACGACAAAGAACAGGTTTTTTAAACCATTCCAGTTCTGGTAATTTTGTTAAGATACTTGAAGGCCTTGAACTAACAAGAGATTCTTTGTTTAAAAAAACAAAACCTATTTGGTTTAAACTTAGTATTTCTGATATATCCCAAGCAATTTTTTAAAAGGCTACTTTTCTGCCACGTTAGCATAAAGCTTTAACTCTCCTTCCAAGGGAAATGATAACTGTGTGCTAATCCATTACAACTGCCTTGCTCAGTAAGTCGTAAGACTAGAGTGCCCACTTGTGAAGGGGCTGCCGGGGCTTCAGCATACTGTTTCCAGCCTTGCTTGTCCAATCTGAGCTCGATTATTTGCTTCATTTTCAAACCACAATGCTCCATTCAGCAATATGTATTATACATTCACAGAAGACAGTGCTTTCATATAGCCAAACTGTCTCATGGCTGTCCCTTCAAGTTCATCTCTCAAGGGCTATGACAGGCCACCAGACCCCTCTAAAGCTTATACCATCACAGGGATATGGAAAAGAAACACAAAATTACATAGACCCTTGAGTGTGAAAATAAAAACATAAAACAGTTTTTTTTTTTTTAAATAGAACACTGTTGTTTTACTTTTAGGCATAGAATTCTCATTTTAAAGAGTTAGGGGACCTAACCAAGGAATCAATAAATATCAGTGGGCCCTAAAGTTTATGCAAATGTTGTAAAACACAAAATCATAAAAAGTGGATCAAAAATATGTCTTCTTAATATTAACCTTTCTGATCAAAAATTGTGGTTCTTTTAAAAATTCTAAGGTTTGGTTAATATATAAAACTAATTTTATATATACCATACACTTACATATAAATCTATTTCACTTATAAAATATACACCCTACTTGTAAATTTTTAGGTTGTGCTTTTCTCTTCTCTAATTCAGATTCACCTAATTAAAACCCACAATAAATTTTATGGACTCTAATATTTCCAGCTGAATGACTGAAACCAAGAGGGTGTGCCTCTGGGCAGCAAGGCAACAATGATAAGCAGCAGGTTAGCCACTAATTTCTCAACCAGGGTAGATTGTGAAAGTGTGATGTTCTGATATCCAAGAAACTGTTCAGGAGAGAATAGGATAAATCAAGTTTAATAACTCTGCTCCTAATTGTTCCCCCAATGCTCAACTCTAATTACTTGGAGAACTCTCCTGACTGTCACCTGATATTAAGTTGTTGGAGGCTGAGCCTGGAACAGCGAGATAATCAATAAACATTTAGTGGGGAGAAGAATGAAGATCCTGTTAAGCAGTGGGAACCTGCAGCACCCAAAGCCCTTCTGCTCATGAGAAAACCTATGGGACAGCCATAGTGATTGCAAAGCAATAATCCAAAGCACTGTTTTTAGGCCTTGAGGCCTTTAGGCAACAGTACATTTGAGGAAAAAAGGTTAACACGGTCACCCTAATTACAGCCCACTTTCACATACTTCATATATAAGCGAAGACAAGCCAATTAGGTAGAAAGGAAGATAAGGGAAGTTTTATTTGTATACTAATTAAACCCCTGATGAAATTAAAGGGAAAACATACAGCTCTGTAATTGTGTCTGAGAAAGGTCACTCCAGGTTCAGTTATCAGAACGGCACAGCCTTGAGATGCTTCACTTAATCCACAGTACAGCCCTCATTTTGTACTCAGGTCTTAATATTTACAAAAAAAGAAAAGGAAAGGAAGAAAAGAAAAGAAAACTCAAAGCCTGATACTGAACTTATCTTTAAATGGTGCGGGGAACAATTTGAGCTGTTAGAAAGTTAATGCTACATATTATAATGAGAGACTTTGAAAAGGTAAAGATATTCTGCTGACCCAAGAACTCATGTGTCAATATTTTCATCAAAGACTCCACCTTTCATTATAAATCCAAAAATGCTTGAAAGCAAACTTTTTAAATTACATCCCATCTACCACATATCATTATGCTATTTCTTTTCAGTGACTACTCACCTTCATGTATACCTCTCATGATCCAAGAGGAGAAAAGCAGATCTCACTACTACAAAAAGGTACTTTTACATGACTGGTTCCCTTAATTGATCACAAGAAGTAATTTACCAGTAATAAGAGCTAGCAAAGCTCAGTATAGACACAAAGAAAATAGATAATACAGGAGAGCTTATGGATAAATATATGGCTGGGATATTAAATACCCCACATGTTCTTAAAATACTTATGGTTTCTGAAGTTTCTGTAATAAAATGTTACTGCTGAATAAAAACACAAATTATTTTAAGCCATTTATAATTTTGTATTTCTAAATCTTTAAATATTTATTAATGCCAATAATTTCTTTAATTATCACTATAAATTAAAATTATATTGCTTTACCCTAATGACACATTTTGTGTAGTGAAAAGAGATATATTGAAATATAATTCATGTGCCACTCAATTATTCTTTATATAATTTATGGGGGTTTGGCATGTTTACAGAGTTTTGCAGGCATCACAAATATAAGTCTTTTTTATATTCTTTCTTTTAAGAAAATCCTTGTTAAATGATGGTTTAAATACAGTATGTCTAATTATTTCAGCAAACTCTAATTCAAAGCTACACAAAAAATATATAAGGTTTATAATTTTGGTAAGTGATTTTAAAATTTAAAAATTCAGTCAGGAAATGGTGGCACACACCTTTAATCCCAGCACTCAGGAGGCAGAGGCAGACAGATCTTTAAATTCAAGGGCAGCCTGGTCTACAGAGTGAGTTTCAGGACAGCCAGAGTCACACAAAGAAACCCTGTCTCAAAAAAAATTAATAAAACAACAACAAAAATTTTCATAAAATGAATTCCCTGAATCAGAGTTTTTAATTAAAGTTATCTGTATGGCGAACACATCTCTCTAAGGAATATTTCTGCATGCCAAGGGACTGACCTACAGGGTTTTTTTTTCTCATGAGGGTACATTCTCATGCTTTAGACCATTAGGCCACTAGGAAAACTAAGCCCCAGGAGATACAGCCTTTATAGATTTTCTTTCGTCTAATGGGGACTATCTTTGGATCCACATTCCTCCAGACTAAAAGCTAATGGCTATTCAATATGGTATAAAAAGTCAGTCATTCAAAGTGAAAGCAAGAAAAGAGCCTTTAAACTAGTTTCTGAGGGAAAGTAAAATGTAACAATCTTTAAAACTAAGTTTGCAGCCCTGAGACTTGGCTCAGTAGCCCTTCATGCACAGGGTTAGGGTTTGATCCCCAGCACTGCAAACAGTAATGACAAGAGAGATTACAATAATACATCTACTGCTACCCAACTGTGACTTCTGAACAAACACTCCTGGCT